GAGCATGTGTCAAATTTAGACCCATTGCTATTACCTCTCCTTTTTTGAAAACTATGGAGAAAATACTTTTACTTAGTCTTGTACCCTCTCTTAAATCCTTTAATGACCCAAAACAGTTTGCCTATAAGCGCAGTTGAAGCACTTTAGATGCAGCTGCCGTCTTGTATCATAACATTGCTTCCAGTCTAGACAAAGGGGCTAAATTTGTTCGTCGTGCCTTCCTAGACTATGCATCTGCTTTTGACTCGGTCCCTACGGACATCTTATTAAATAAACTTGCTGCAAGTCAAACAGAATGTTGGGCTGTTAACTGGTTACACTCTTATTTCTCAGAAAGAAAGCAGTACACCGTGTATAAAGGGAAGTCTTCCACTTCATTGCCTACTGAAGCTGGCGTCCCTCAAGGCGCTGTCCTTTCTCCTTTTCTCTTTTCTTTCTTCTTACATGACTTGCCTCACTCTGATGAAATAAACTTTGTGAAGTACGCTGATGACTTAACTGTTTCAATGGCTGTTAACTCCCAGCTAGATTGTACCAAAATAAATAGCTTTCTGTCGGGAGTCAGTAAATGGTCTGAGTCTAACGGTCTTAAACTGAATCCTTCTAAATGTCAAACTGTTAATTTCAGCTTAAGATGTAAACGACAGTTAAAAGAAGCCGTCGATTCTCATGACAGTTGTAAGATTGATGACAATGATATAGGAATTAAATCAGAAATTAAGTATCTTGGACTTATTCTCTCTTCTGATCTCTCCCGGTCTTCCCATGTCTCAGCGATCTCCAGTAAAATGTTCCGCCTTACATTTTACATAAGGAAGTTAAGGCACTCGGGTATAACTCAACCCCTCCTCTTACAGTTCATAAACTCTTGCATCCTACCTATTCTTCTTTATTGTTCACCCTTATTCTTTCCTGGTTTGCTTAAAAAGGACTTTGTCACAATTCGTAGAATGCTGAAGACTGTCAGTAGGATGAGTGGTGTCCCAGTGGACTACATAGTTAACGTCGTTGTCGATAGGCATTTGACTTCGTGCAGTAAATTTGCTAAAGGGATTTTGTCTGACTTGGAGCATCCACTTCACCCTCAGCTTTCACCTTGCATCTCATCTCCTCAGGTAGAACAAGAAGTAACTTCAGAAAACTGTATGCTCGCACGTCTAAGTATAAAAATTCTATGATACCATACTTGGCACGTATTTTATGTGATGAAAATAGCGTCAGACAAGAATCGACTAACCTTTTTTCATCTAGTAAATAAACAATCTCCTCCATCCATCTTTATATACCTTCAAGTTTTACTTTTATTATTTCTATTATATTTATGGTCCTGTTGATTCTTTGTTTTCACTTTCATAACTGCAAACACCAACTTATCTCTATGACTGCTGTAATCTTTGTTTTTTTCCCTCACCATATCATGTAAAGAGAACATCATATTCAATATTTTTAATCATGCAAGGATTTGTATACCGCATCGACAATACTGTGTGAAACAAGCCCACGGCAATTTCCACTTGTATTATTATCATTACCTTAGCTGCTATCATTATTATTATTTCCATTTTATATGCTGCATGTTTTTTATTTTTTTATATTAACCCTATTGTAAATGTAGAAAAATTTTCTGTGTGATTAATTTTATTTATAATTTGAGGAAATTAGATGCAATATTGTGATTAATGCTGAAAATTCCATTCTGTATCACAAGTACTGTTTTTGGAATAAAGTAAACCATTATTATTATTGTTATATATCCTGTGCTAGGGAAATGGCTTCAAGCTCTATTTTTTCCCAAGTATTTGTAATCCGTCCAAACCATACTCGGGCTCTTTTGTTAATGCGAAGACAATATTTCTATATTTCCAGATGTGCTCCATTGAATGACTAGTTAGCAGATTGTTCCCACAAACCAAAGACAAAAACGACAGCAATCATGTAATTTAACCATAAACCAAATTTATATAATTTAAATAAGGCTTACCAATGACTGTACAACTGGTGTGTTGTACACAGGTAGGAACAAATACCTACCTTATTCTATCACCATTACAAAATATGCTTACCAATCGTATATGTAATTTATCATATTGATGATGCCTTTCAACTGGCGTCCGTCATGTGCAAAAAATGTTAATGTATTAATAATAATAATATTATTATTATCAGTCCCTACTATCGCCGGCAACGAAATCAGTGTAGGTGATATGGTTCTGATCAGGAGAGAGAGGGATAATAAGGAAGGAGGGGGGGTTGCCATATATTTTGATAGGCAACTTGAATGTGTACGCGCAATGGACCTACTGCTTATTGAACTCCCAGAGTCCAGATGGTGTCATTTCACCGTAGGCCACATCAAGCACTTAATAAGCGGCATCTGCCAATCACCCACCTGTGGGGCAGAGCACAACGAGTTACTGCTCAGCACCATCACAGGGATACGAGACTTGGGCTATGACCAGATCACGATAACTGGAGATTTCAATGCCCCATCACTGAACCTTGGCTCGGGGTATGCTAAGGGAAAATTCGGTTGAAATCTACTGCAAACCATTTGAAGTACAGGACTGACTGACAATGTTGGAGATGACACTAGGCAGGGCCCTAGTGGAAAGCCATCGAAACTAGACTACATTATAACTAGTGACCAACTACTACTCGTCGTAAAGGTCCAGATCATGACTCCTCTAGGAAGTAGTGACCATGCAGTCACAGGTTTCGATCCTGTTCTCCGTGAGCGCTTGCAGTGGGATGTTGCGCAACCATGTCTGTGCTCTAGCAAGGCGGGCTGTGTTGAAATGACGAGGCTTTTGTCCGACGCAGAATAGCACTTAGCGTGGGATGAGTCATATTTGGATTAATAATGGGAAGTGATAAAAGAGATTATTCATACAGCAATCCCGGACACTGTCCCTGTAGTCACAGCACTGTCCAAAGGAAAGACATCATGGCTGAAGAGAGGTATGCAACGTATTCCGCAATCAAAGCGTAAGACTTGGTTCATGTGGCAAGTATCCAAGAGTCAGACCGACCACAGCGCATACTTGGAACTCAAGAACCGGTGTAACGTGAGAGTCAGGAGTGACCAGAGGTCATTCCAGACTGACCTTGCCAAAAATCTGCTGGCAAACCCCCAAAAACTTGTATCGATTCGTGTCGGAAAGAAAACCAACCGACCAGGGTCCATGTGCCTAAGTAGGTGCAGACGGTCAATACCTCACTATTCTGGAGGTGGCCGTTACGTTCGTCAAACAGTTAAACAGAAAGGTGGGTATTACCGGTACGGGCCAAAATGGAGGCACTACTTTTTCACCGGGGGAAAACCTAGCGGCCACTTCCCAAATAAACGCGGCAATAGTACTAGGGGGTCATATCTGGAAAGCCTCCAGGCTGTGACGATATCAGGCCATCTGTTCTGAAACAGTGCACCAAAGCCCTCTGTGGGTCCTTATGCGACTTGTTCCAGCACTTGATGGATTCGGGGAAACTGCCAAGGGGGCGGAGAAGAGCCATCCTTTCATCGATCTTCAATGGTGGGGATAGGAAAAATGCCACTAGGTATAGACCAGTAGCTCCAATCCCAGTGGTATCAAAAGTACTGGAAAGTATTGAAGATAACATCAGGGAGTATCTCGACAGGACTAATATACTCCATGAAGCCCAACACGGTTTCAGGAAAGGCAAGTCCTGTGTAACAAACTTAATGGGCTGCAGGCACATCTAAAGCTTCTGCAAGACTGGGCGGTGGTCAATGGCATGTTTTTCAATCTGAGAAAGTGCAAAGCGGTGAAATTACGCACCTGTAGGACGCTGAATGCAAGTTACACCCTATGCAACAAAAGCTTGTCCAGTTTAACGTCGGAGGGCGACTTAGGTCTAGTTCTAGCGGAAAAATTGGACACAAGCGTAAATTACACGGGAAACGTAGCGAGGGCATATGCGGTCATACACTTTACACACAGACAGTTAGGTGCACTCATTCCTGAGCTCTTTCTACGGTTGTACAAAACATACGTCAGACCACACCTGGAAGTGCATAAGATTATTGCCCCACCACTGCTTAGAAGAGACGCCAACCTCTTGGAAAGAGTCCAAAGACGGGCAACAAAAGGAGTGGTTGGTCTCTGAAATAAATCGCATGATGAACAGCTAAGGAAATTAGGCCTATTCACACTTAGCTACCGTCGGCTTAGGGGGGATTTAATCACTGCCTACAATCACCCAAACAAAGGTGTTCTGCCATTGAGTAGGCATAGGCTCCCTCGTGGAAATCCTAGAAGGATAGCTCATCAGAGGGCAAGGACCCGGGTGAGCTCTCACTTCTTTTCACTGAGGGTTTGCCGTCCCTGGAATTCCTTACCAGCAGATGTAGCTATGGCACCGTCTGTGAACGCCTTTAAGCGAAGGCTGGACAACCATACAGCGACACAAGGACTTCATCCAAATGGCCTATCCCCTTAAAATCTCATACACCATTCAAAGGTAGACAATTAAACTTGTCGTTTTACTTCTTTACATTCTCTTCCGTCTTACTCTCCTGACAGCTTTAACTACACCTATTATTATTATTATCATTATTACTGGTATATATATATACCGGTTGACTGACTGTTGTTACGTTTTCTCATTCTTTTTCTGTCTGTTAGTCTGAATACCTTCACTAATTATATCTATTATTATTATCTCTTTTCTATTGAAGACGATACCGAAGGACCAACTGGTGAAAGGACCAACTCCATTCACAGTAGTAACAGTCTTAACACACCTCATTCTACAAACCACATACAATTAATCCCTGCACTACTCCTTTTGGAGTCAACCAAAGCTACGACAGTCGAGTGGCGGGACGAGCTACGCAGACGTTTACCGAAGATCAGGAACCTCTATCTCACAATCAAGAGGCGAGCACAAAGAAATCAAATTGGTTTATACTAGCTCGTAAAACATATTGGATATTGGATAGTAAAAGCGGTACTGGGTATTGAATGTTGGATGCTTAGCAACGCTATAATCGTTGCTTTTTCAAGCTTATTGGGTATGGAAATTTTTTGATTAAATAACGTGCACTGTTTTAAAAATAGCTTTGGTGGAGTACACATGAAATCCTTTTATTGTGAGAAGGCCTTAATGTATTTCATTCAGATGGCACCTGCAGACTGTGATAATCAGTTTCATTTTAGCACGTCAGTGCAGATGTGAAACGCAATTTAATAAACACCTTCAGATTATCCGGAGAGAGTTTGAGGAAAACAGCCTTGCATTGGCGTGGTTCGCCGAAAAAATAAATTCAACTAGCTCAAACCGTTTCATTTCGCTGGGTACAACATGGGATCACCAATGGCTAAATCTTCGGATACACGGGGCAGACATTTAGGGAAACAGGTAGATTGCGCTGCAGGTGTCAGAGTGAAATACCCCCGATTTGAGGCGTCACTCTGCCCTGTACCCTAAGTCTCCCAAAAATGTTTCTTCAGTGACCCTATAAGGTCTTGACTTATAAGTCAATGATAGCTGGGAATTCTGTCCGAATATTTCCACACCGCGTCATATCTTACATATCTGATGTGTGAGCAACTATGTTCACAGTGTGTCACATGCAACCAACACAAAGACTTAAGCATTAGAAACCAATGAAGTTCTAGAAGCATATATTTTCAAATAATGACAAATGTATTTATAATGTTTGTGCACTACAGACGATTGAAAGATCATTGAAGCTACATGCGGTCGACCACCTAGTGCCTTACTCATACTACATGTTCTCGTTGTTCAAATCAACGAAAATGAAAACTGTCAACATCCCATCGGATACCGTCATCATTTTTTAATTCTTGCATTCAGCCAGTCATGACTGTTGCAGAACCATCGTCGAATATATGCCTTAACGTTTTGCATAGTATTCAGTTTGTCAGAACTACGTGGCCGGTGAAAACTGTTAGTGGTACCCGAAAACCACAATCAAAACAAAACTCACTTACGGATGATGAGACTGCACACTTTCGTCTGCCTGAACGGCCTCTTATTCTTGGTCGCATGTTATTTATCGGGTCCAACAAAACATTTGTGATGCGACTAGCTGAGGTTAGGACGCTGCAGCCAACCAAAGTGTTGGGGTAAGTGGCAACTTTCCGACAGTATTACTGGTCAGATAATTTTCTTTAAAATTCAGAAATAATGGCGTCGCTATTTACCTATCATCTGCATGAAGAATTTAAAAGCTTCACAGAACTCATTCCTATGTCATTCCGGTCTATGCTGCTGGTCACTTCTCCTCAGTTACCTCGAGATTCGACTCAATAGCCTTGTAGCATGCACAGCCATTAAGTCTACATCCATCCGTCTCCTCCGTACGCACCCCATTTCCTGCAGACCTGCATGCAATAGTTTTGGTGAAATTTGACTTCAGTGCTAGTTGGCGACACACTTGTAGTCATCAATGGGTCAACAAACACAGACAAGCTGAAATGTAATATTGTTAAGAAACTTTCAAATACCTTTCGTTTTTATCAAGCTTGACTGGCTGTCGGAAACTAAAGGGCTCTGACTGAAACTCCTTATCTGCCAACAACGTAGATGGTCAGTCTAAAAGTGCTGCATCAATTGCTAACTTCTTTGTTGGCCTCTTAGTACTGTAAGTATTACCTAGAAATTACGGCTCATCGGTTCACCCTAAAACATATGTGTGAGCGATTTCCAATGACATGCAGAAGACAATAGTGAAATGCAATATATTTTTCTCATTTTTCCTATTTATTCCATTTATTTCACGCTTCCAAATGACCATGTTTCCTCGTTATCCCACTAGTGGGATAAGCCAATACCATATCTAGGATAAACCGGTTTCCTTGCTTCCCGAACTATTCCGATGCATATGTAGACAGCGAAAGCATTATTCTCCAACATTTTGCCACGACCGTTGTTAGGAGTGAAGTCATGTTTGATGCGTGCACTGATATATACAATAAATCAGATATAGATTATTTATTCATAGCCTGAATTTTCCAAAAAGATTTGTAAAAGATTCATACCGTGAATTTTTGAAGGAATGAAGACATTGCCGCTGTCGTTGAAGTTAAAAATGAGTATTATATTTGTCTCAGTGTGCAGAATATTTCCAAGTAATCAACCAGGTTAATGATAACCACAAATCAATGAGACTCTGATATAAAAATAAAACTTGCGCACTGTGGTAGAGTGTAATTCCATTATGGGTAAATTTTGTTTTGATAAAGTTTCACAGTGTTATACAGTAATATTTACTGATGACGTTTCGAGCACAATTTATTGCTCATAATCATATCAAGGTGATCACACGACTTCCTAAATTCATTTATATAGTTCCATTGTTTTTCACTTGATTTTCATTTGATTTGATTGGTAGTAATATTTTTTCCATATTTCGGGAATGAGTGATGAACCATTCCTATTGCATGTGTTGGGTGTAGATTCGATGAACAAGGATTCAGTGATCAACCTCTCTCTCCACCTACCTAGATTACTTTTAGAATTTTAACCCTCTCCCACCCTATTGTGTGGTTGTGTGTTAATGCATGCAGTGTGGTTGCTAAGCTTTTTTCTAAATTACTTATCTTCTCTGGGTCAACCATTCTTACCTTAGCTAAATTCTTATGTTCTGACAATCTGACTACCCCTGACCTACTAGTTTGACCTATGTAGTTGACCTCACAGTAATTGCAGGGCATTTTGTAAATCATATTATTTTGTCTAATTGGGTCCACTGGGTCCTTTAACCTACGGAGCTTGTCCCTGAGTGAGTTTGTAGGTTTAAATGCCACCCTAATTCCTGCTTTATTTAGAATCCTACGTAGGGTCTCAGATGTCCCCTCTTTATATGGTATAACTGTAGATGACTTATAGTCTCTTAATATATGTGTAAAACTTGGGCACTGTGGTAGTAAGTAATTCCATATTAGTTTGTTTATTAGGTATATCACACAGTGTAAATTGATATGATTATGAACAATAAATTTTGTTCGAAACGTCATCCAGTAAATAATACTGTTTCACTGTGTGATATACCTAATAAACAAACTAATATGGACTTATATTCTCTCTTATTTATATTATTATTACTAGTTTCCCAATTCTTTTTACTTTTCTTTTGACCTCTTTCAATCTTCCTAATGAATTTTTAAGGATAGTTATTTAACAACAACGCCTCTTCTATCTGTTTTATTTCGTCATTTAGGTCTTTTTTTGTGCTACTTAGTGCCATTGCTCGGTTTGTTAAACACTTAACTAAGCCTGCCTTAACAGTTAACGGATGAGATGAATTAAAGTCTAAATATCTATTAGAATGCGTTGGTTTTCTATAAACACTAGTGTGTAGTTTGCCTTCTTCTATTCGTTTTATCTTTCAATCTAACATAGCTATTTCTCTTTGCTCATTTTCGGCTTCAAATGTGAATTTTATTCCCTCCACTAGTGAGTTTATGTGTGTCAAGTAGCTAGAGATATGTTCTGTTTTTAACACTGTGAAAGTGTCATCCACATATCTCCACCATAATTTTGGAGTAGGATTAAACGTATTAAGAGCCATATATTCCCAGCTATCCATAAATATATCTGCTACGATAGGGGATATTCTAAAAAGTAATCTAGGTATGTGGAGAGAGAGGTTGATCACTGAATCCTTGTTCATCGAATCTACACCCAACACATGCAATAGGAATGGTTCATCACTCATTCCCGAAATATGGAAAAAATATTACTACCAATCAAATCAAATGAAAATCAAGTGAAAAACAATGGAACTATATAAATGAATTTAGGAAGTCGTGTGATCACCTTGATATTATTATGAGCAATAAATTGTGCTCGAAACGTCATCAGTAAATATTACTGTATAACACTGTGAAACTTTATCAAAACAAAATTTACCCATAATGCAATGAGTCTCTGTTATGACAGTTTTTGTTGTTGAAAGTTTAAAGCGACATCCCTTCGCATGATAACATCGTTTTCATCGCTTGTTTATCTTATCTTTAAGCCATAACATAACTGATGATCAGGACACAGGTTATTTTCAAGAAAGCTACTTGAAACCAAAGTTATAGGCTTCTTACATTCTATGTACAGCAACTTTAGATTATTTGGAGTTATGTTTATTACTACCACCCCTTTTGTGTATGTGATGCATTACAGAGTCATCAAGTGAGTAAGAAGGAAAGGAGTGAATTACTCGGACAATAGACATGCAGAAATACTTCGTCAAGGACTAACATGAGGTGACGAACACCTTCAAGTCTAAATAACTGAACGGTTCTGTTGTTTTGATTTAGCACTGTTTAGAATCTCTGAAGCATATTCCCGAGGACTTTGTGATTTCTATATGAATATACAAACATTCATTTTTCAGGTCTAAATCCAGCTTCCACCTTTTTGCAACATATAGCTACTCCCATCTACTGTCGTCGGAGGGGAAATGATTGATAGGCAAAGACCCACGACGGTCTGCTCGCGGAGTGACTGTTTTCACGCTTGGTTTGGCTGGAATTATGACTCATGACTTTTAATAGAAAGTTTGAGAATTCACCTTGATGCTGATTGCTGTTTAACAATCAACTCACTGTAATTAAATCAAACGTTCTCAATGCAGGATTTTTTCGCAGCCAATGTTAGGATAGCTAATAACATTTAATAAAGACAATGTTTTATTGGGAATCACCAGAATTAGGTAACATGGGTTGATGAATATTAATGTGGAGGTGAAAATCAGGAAAAAGTGAGTAATGGAGAGTTAATTATTTAAAACTCTACAAGATTATTTCAGCATTCTGATTTCTGATTATTTTCTTTAAATTATAACAGATAAAATGTTTGAAAAGTGTTTTCAGTCTTCTTATGGTTTAAAATGAACTAGAAGTTCTAGTCGAATATATTTGGCGCTTGGCTACTGTATTGTTCAAGTGCAACCTTCCCTGAAGCTGATGTCCTATCCAAGTATGTTCTATTAGTTCTATACTTAATTTAATGAAAATGTAAACTACGGCCATATCCAAATGATTTTCGATCCTGGTAGACATTATTGGTAATAAGCTGATACAAAATTATTCATACTATCAACTTAATAGGGAAAAACAAATACAATTTTTGTTTATTGAAGAAATGTTTCCTTTCAACAACTTCATTTCCCAGCTATGCAAACGTATTTATATTACAGAAAAAGGCTCTTTCAGTATACATATGATAAGAATAAAGATAATCAACATGATGCCAAGGGGGCGGACAACATGTGAAGACACGAGTGAGTCAAGGCTGATTGTGGTGGACTGGATTATGCAACAGATTGTTGGCAGTGGGAATGCAGGAATACGTTGGACCGATAAGATGACTCTAGGGGATCTGGATTTCATGGATGATTCATGACTAATGTGGCACAAACCTGTGGATCTGCAGGAGAAAACCAACAAGATGACAGAAAAAAGAAGTGAAGACAGGACTTCAAGTGAACATAGAGAAGACGGAGGCGGTGAAGATAACCAGCCAACAAAAACACTCATTAATCACAATCAACTGGAGGAACTTGGAGGAAGTCAATTATTTTATTAATCTAGGCAGCATCGTTTCGACTACAGACGGCACAGATGAGGACGTCAGTGATAGGATAGGAAAAGCGAGGCAGACCTTAATTAATCTGAAATCAGTGTGGTAATCTGCCGCACTCAGCATAAACAAGAATATCCGCGTTTGCAATACTAATGTCAAAGCAGTCCGTCGATATGGTTGAGAGGCTTGGCATGTAGGCAATAGTGAAGCGCGCTAAAGAACTGCAGAGGTCGGGATAAAATGAAGACTTGCTGTTAAAGCCCTATGTTCCACTCGGAATCTAAACAAATAATTAATAATGACAATGATATTATCATCATCGCACCGATTCACTTGTTTAATAATCCTTGAAAATTTTGTAATATATCCACTTCAACGCTAGCCCCTTGAAATCATTTTAATTATCTTTATTCTTGTCATATGTGCATACTGACTGGGTAAATGCTTAGTAGCACTTGGTAGCTTTTTTCCGCAGTGTAAATACCATCGTCCAGCTGGGAAATGAAGTAGCTGAAATGAACTATTTCTTTGCTGAACAAAAACTGTATTTTTTGGCTAATAAATAAATAGATATATTTCGTGTTTATTATGAGCTGTTAAAAAAGAATAGGGAGTACAAATTCCTTCTCAACAAGGAGGATTTTGAGTAAGTGATTGGTTTCAGAGCAGATTTTATAAGTAGACAGAATTAGTTATATAACTTCTGAAAGTCATTCGGGGTCATCAGAGTTATCTGTAAATTATGTATGACAATGCATCAGCCCCTAAAGACTGTTTGAATTCAATAGATTAGTATGAAAGAGAACAGAAAAAATTACTTTTGTAAGGAATAATGACATAACAGTATTTGTACTGGTTGTTTATCGATTGTAAATTACGCGTTTCGTAAGAATTAATCTTGACCTATTCAGTTACACTGAGATTATTTTTTATTATCTGAGTATTCCTTGATATATAATAAAGCCTAATAATAACTATTTAGTCAAGACCTCAAAATAAACTTGGTTTACAACTTTATTTGGCGGGCTCAAACCAAAAGTCAAAAACTTCATTAATTTATGCCACATCTTGACTTAACCACCCCTAAATATTCTCCAACTTAATCCTATGTCAGCTAACGTTTCTCGATGAGGAAGGCGATAGCTTACCATGGGCAACATTTTTCCTAATCGTCTCATTCGATACAGTTTCACAACCTGACTGATTCGCTCTCTTTCCTTACCTGATACTGTACGGCCAACCTCAATATTATTCACCATACTATACCAGTTAACACACGGGACAAAATGCAAATATCTCTGGTCAGAGACAGCTAACCTCTTCAGGTCTTTCACTTTCAATGGCTACTTTTCACAGTTATAAGTAAGGGGAGGGCAAACTCTTGGTCAGTATATGTATCTTCTGGTCGATAACAGGATACCGTGTCTACGCCATAGATGAAGTAATTTGGCGAATACCACACAGTTCTTTTGAATCTGTGCTGCGATTTAGTCACCAACCAATCCATTAGGACTGATGCAACTTTCCAAATAAGTGGTGGTCAATGCGCTTATCCAACTCACTCTCTATATTTAAACTAGGAGTCGGTGCAGACCAATCCTACATCATTATCATCTTACATTCGATGTAGGCGAATATCTTGCCAAATATATCCAGATTTCTGTTCAAGGTGTTCGGAAGACTCTGCATCTTTTCAGGCTCTTCGCCTACAACGACTACGTCGTCTTCATACTCTAAGTCGATGAGACCGTCCACATGCAACATACCAATCCTGAAGTTACTTAAATAGACTAGGCTCACATCCATTAGTACATCTATGCTAGAAAAAAGGGAGGCATTACGAGTCACTAAGGGAAACCACTAGTTACCAACATTCTAGGTGATAATTCTCCGTAAGCTTGTTCACCTCTGCGTGAATTCGAGTGGACTAAGTAAACTAGTTAGTGTGATATACTTTATTGATATAAGTATAAAGCTTGGGCACTGCGGTAGAGTATAACTCCATAATGGATAAGATTTTATTTTAATAAATCACACAGTGTTGTACAGTTAAATTAACTGATGACGTTTCGAGCACAAACGATTGCTTATAATCATATCAAGTTTGTGCTCGAAACGTCATCAGTTAATTTAACTGTACAACACTGTGCGATTTACTCAAATAATTTCCAACCACTAATTTAGTTTAGTCATATTTATTTCTTATGACTGATCATCTATTTTTTGTCTAGTCTGAGTAACTGAGGTAAATTCTGCAACTGTTGAGGCTGGAAGATTTTTATTAAGGCAAAGTTGAAAACAGGGTTTCTTCGTTCATCATCAGTGCACATCATCTTCCCGTTTAAAAGTACTACTGTGGTAGTTGCTTAACCCTCCCATAACCTTTAGGTCATTGCTATCCAGCAAATCAAAAAAGCACCGTTCCCAGTTTATTGAAGCGTCTTTACCTTCCTCACCTTATTTATGGTTTTAAACTTTTCAGCCTTAAATTAAATAACAGGTCTCAACAGTTAAAATTCCTGCATCTCGGGTTGTGGATTTATGCTGTATGTCTGAGATAATCATACATGTCACAAGTGTAGTTCATCATTTAACCCTGCCTGGACAAGATAATAAATCTACGAACTTCATCAATTCGGTATGAGGGTATTCTTTAGTCACTTCTTGTGAACTCAGTGGTGTAAGCATAGCACTAGACCCATTAGTGAAAACCCACTGCTTGGTTGGATCCCAGTGGAAAGTTGTCTGCACACTGTACATCTGGATGAATCCATTAGAATAGGTAAAGAATATGACAATCAATGGTGCCTTTTGACAGTTTGGGCCAATACACCAGCACTTTATGGTTCCGAGAAACTGAAGCATAAATTTTATCTGAAGCCAACTTGGTGGCTGGAAAAACAAAGCGTTTACATGTCACATGTGTATGTCTTCATAGAAGTGAAGTTTGAGGACAGAGATGTCTACTAGGCGAACATCGGTAAATTTGGTCACAATTCGGAAGATGACAAAAGGTGAGTGCATTTCCTCTGAACAAATTAATCTCGAACGTATCGTCGAGAGTCTCTGACTCATAGCTTCTTAACTTTATTATAATCTCAGTCATACTGCTGATGCCCCCGCAGATACGTCAAATCGGCTGTCAATTATTTTGCCTGATGACGGCTAACAGTGGAATTCCGTATTCTCATATCTTCCTACCTGGGACTCGTCATTTGTATGTGCCTGTTCATTCTATAGTAAAGTCACTAGATTACAGTATTTCAGTAAAGGAAACAACAGATGAATGTCAAACCCTCTAACTTTGTTAGCTGGATATTTTATGGGAACAGAATGCGATGGCAGTTAGTTAATACTGAATAGGCAGTTACTAGTTATTTTGGTATTTTCATCAGCAAACCGTCTCGATGTGACTGACAAAACGACATGAAGCAATTTACAAATATTACTACAATATGACTAGTAATTTCCAAAAGAATCAAATATATATTTTTTAATTTGCATACTTCTAAAAACAGTGTCTTTGATCTGTGTACAAAAGAAAGCAGTTATTATTCCTAAGTCTTGTCTTTATTAAGGATGACCTTATTAGTGTATTCTGTTTGTTTTGCTTTAAATTAGAATATGCAACTTCTTGAATCGATTGGAAATTTACGACCTGTTCGACAAGCTAAATCAGCAACACCAACAAAAAGTACATCTCGTTGTCATTCCAGAGGATGCAGTATTGATACTTATCAGACACTACCGCCGCCTTCTGTAAGGTTACGTTTAGACGAAGCTTTTGACAATGCGAGACGTAACCGTCAATCCAATGTATTTCCTAGTCAAAATACAACTATTTCTAACAAACCTTGGAGAAGGTGGAAAAAAGGGACATCTGAGGACAATGATTCCGATGCATCAGAATCATCACAAATGGCTCAGTTAGTTGTATAAGTTAACTTTGTTTCAATATGCACGCGTTTCTCATGTTTCTTATTTACGAGGACCGAGTGATGGTTTCCCTTTCGTAAGAGTCTTTAATACGTTAAGGGATGCATAATTCATAGGCGCTTAATTAGTTGGACAGGAGAGGGAGGTAAGTGCCGAATTAAGTCTTTCTATTGTATGGTGACTGTTTCAATTAGATGAATTTCCATTTCTAGTCATTAACTCTGCGAAAGAAAGTTGATCGTGATTCATTTGGAAGTTAAGATTTCGCACATGCATTACATGGGTCACTTGGATGAGGATGTCAAAATATTTCAAATCAAGGATCGGAGACTGTTAATAATTTATTTAGAACTCATCAAAGAAAATGAGTGTAATGACTCTTCTTTCATGGCCTTTTTTGTCAAATTTAATATCACTGTATCGCAGTTTGCCAGTTCGGTATTCTACACCAGTCTGTCTGTAGTCTCTTAGCTTCACTCTCCTCACACAGTGACTGGGTTAGTCCATTCCATTCCACTCCAAACTTTAAACTATGTATGATATACAATTAATTGATTAATTAACTAAGTAAGTGTTGCACTTTTCTTTCCCAAAATCCTTTAGTTATTCGTTAATAATTCATAACATGCTATTTTAGGTGTTGACAAGTTGTACTAATTGTGATGAGTTACACTTTACACACAAAAATGTGATTGCTATTCTTTGTCTTAGGTAACTGAACCTACAGCCACTGTGTCATAGATGAAAAGACTGTCATTCCTGTAGAGGCGTTAAACAAAAGGAGAGTACACTGTTTCCAGATAGATTTGACTCAACACTTAGCGTCTAACTCAGTAGGTTATTTCTGTTATTTCATTATTGTTTACACAGTAGTTCATGTTTTCGCTATTCTTTTATGTATTTATTTTACTTTTCAGCATACTTCATCCTAACTTAAACAAATCTTACGTCAATCAACAACCTAATATTGCACTAAGAGGGGAGGCAAGCTTGGAAAATCGACTACGTGGGTTAGGCAGTCTTTGTTTAAAAGAAATTAGCCAAGAGGAATCAATTTTAGAGTGTCGAAAAGATGTACACATTCGTTGTCCAAGAGGAGAGGTTTGTCTTTTGGGTATTTTATTTTTATTTCTTGAAATTTGTTTAATCATTGTGACATAATTTTTGTTATTTTGAGAAAACAGGATAACACGTACTACAACGGGTAAGATTTCCTTATTACACAGATTGTTAGAATAATATAGCTTTTATCAAAGTAGAAAGCTCCTTATTAGAGGGTTGGAGGCCATTGGTAGGAAACCTTAGACCTACGTTTCGTGCTTAACTGGCACTCAACAGTCAGTAGGGGTATCTGCAACCTTGAAGGAACTCATGTCCTTTCTGAGATTCCAGCCCATGTCACCCACTGTTGCAGCCAGAGGTGTTTTCATTGAGCTAATCGAACTCACGATTGACCTACCGTAGGACTTTATTGAATACTCTAATTGGAGACTAGTTGGTAACTAGTATCATGTGTCTAGTACTTTGTCTGATAGAGTTTACCTCCCACCATCCAACAACAACAATTCAGAGTGCGTCGTGATGGTGAGCCACCTGGTATGGTAGACTTATTGCAAAGTTGACTGATAGAATCCAGTTTGTAGCAAACAAAGGACTAAGGACAAAGGATGCTAGTTGCTAACTAGTGTCTAATCAAAGCTTCTCACATTATAAGTAAAGGAACATTATGGAATTTGAAGATGAAGGTATAATATAATCATTCAGAAATGTCTTCTTTGACTCATAATGTATGATTAATTTATAATTATATTTACATATGCTTAATGCATTGTGTTCAAGATTGTTTCTTCAGTCATATTGTGTTGTGAGTTCAAATGTGAAAGGTAGTAGTCGTTTCCGGAAGCTACAAGTATGCTGAAAGGATAATTTAGATTCAGAGTTTATAAGGTTTTTTAATTTCAGTATAAATTCCGTCAGGTTCTGGTTTCATAAACTGGAAGTCTTCAGTTCGATGCTTGAATGGTGTGGTGTGGTGTGTTGTGGGGGCGGTAATAAGTCTACATTTTAAAGATTCTCAAATTAGGGAAAACAGCTGTGCAATCTTCTCTGGTTGTCGAAAATTCCTATCATGACTAAAGTAGAAGTGCGATATTCCTGTTATGAAGACGTATACAAACAGACATGCTAGATTTTCATGTAAATCTTAATTATTACTCAAGAGGTCAAAAGGTCCTGCATCTAGCTTTAATGCTTATTATGGTTAATTAGCAGTGTTTATTTAAAACTTTGAGGAAATCAATTAATGAAAGTGAAGGACAAGCTTCTGCTGCTACTACCACTACCAATGGCCGTGTCAATGTGTATCTATCAATTCACCTACTCCTCTAGTGTTTGGTGCATCGTACTCAGTGTCTGATATCCAAATATATCATTGAACATTTACCATAATGGTTTTACAGAGGAGGAAAAAGATCACTCTGTAGTTCCGTTCTGAGACAGTCGATAGATCCTGGACATCAAGCGGACTCTCAAACTAACTTCATAGTCTTCTACAGAGTACCCGAAAATCCTGCCAAAAGCGTACGAAACAAACGTCTTCAGACTGCAGAAGCTTTGACAATCCACACGTTAAATCCAGAATTCTGCATCTGGAATGAGTTCGTTTATTCACTGAACTTACAACTGACCTAATTTGTCTCAATATCTGAAGCAAAATTTCTTTATATTTTTCTATTCTCCTTTTCCACTATTGCACTTCTACTGTTTGACACATCTTAATTTGACTTCCTTTGAACTTCAAGTGCATTATATTTCATCCTGTCAATTACAATACACCACCTAAATTAGGTAGTTAACTTTTCTTTAAATTCTACCTCAGTAATATTTCTATGTTACTTAATTTAGAATATCTTGATTGTTATCTACAACTTACAATTTCATTGACACGTCTTTGGAAACGTTCCTTTTGTTTCTGTGAAAATGTAATATATATATATATATATATATATGCAATTGTACAGCTTGAAAATGATATCGGTGAACTCATCTTCTTTTATATGACTTCAAGGAATAAAACGCCTCCTCTCTTGGGGATCTGACTGTGCATCACCAGTAGCTTGTAAGTATAGACTGTCATAAAACTTAGATACGGATAACTGACTCCTCCTAGGATAACAAATAAAGGTATTAAAAACACGGAAAAGAAAATACACATGAATAATACACATGAAAAGTCGAAAAAATTTAAATCTGAAAACTTTTCACATATGAATTGCCTAGTAGTCACAGTAAGATAGGCAAATATGTTGTCTTCCTCTACACACTTAACTCTGATGAATTGATATTCTTCAAATCAGTCGCTTTTTGGCGTTTGTAGGAGATGAACTCGTTTCACCTGTGATAGATAGACAAACATCCTATGAATATAAGCTGTATGACAGTTAACCATTGATAATTTGTCCTGGCTTGCTCTCAGATCTATTTTGATAAATCATGCACATAGACAAGTAAGTGGTGGATATAGTCTTAGTTAAAAAATATTAATCTTAAACAGTGAAAAAAAGAAAACAACTCTCCTGAAACAAATACCATATGCATGAATTGTACATTTATTTTACGTTGTGAGAATAAACAGCCATGAAAACATAGTAGTTGTGTTTGATTTCGAAGACACAATAAGAAACTGGAAATATTTCACAACTCCCCATCATGTGCATATGAGATGTCGGGAATGTAGTTAGTTACACCTGTGTTTACTGTCTACACTTTCAGCGTTTCTGCAGGTAATGATAAGAAGCTGTTATATAACAGTAGTAAGCCGTTTAGGTGAAATTGAACCAGTGCTTTTGTAATCACTGCTGTGCTACAAATATTAAAAATGTACCATATTTAATTAGTTTCCACTTTCTCATTCCTTTGCATTCCGATGGGAACATAGGGCTTCAAGCATGTGAAAGTTTCAGTAGCAGTGGTGTCGCTAGGCTCACGTCCACTCTTCCCTCTGTTCGTGGCTCACTGATGGCTGGTAAACTGGTTGAAGTTAAGGAGTGCATCAACAGGAAATCTGACCTGGATTCCGTCTGTAGTTGGTGAGTATTCTACACTGAACCACCGATGCACTATTTACAATGTCAGGAGATATTTGTTAACCAACCAACAGCAACACCGACAACAAGCACCAATCACCATCAACGGAATAAATTCGAAAGAGGTCACCTCCTTCACTTATCAAGGAAGCGTGGTTTCAACCACAGTCAGTGGAACGCATGAAGATGTCAAAGCCAGACAGCCAGCCACCCAGCCAGCCATTCAGAATCGGAAAGGCAAGATACACTTTCATCAGTCTGAAATCAGTTTGGGGATCTCCTGCACTCCAAAGCATAAAGAACGTGATTCGGATTTTCAACACTAATGTGAATTCAGTCGGTTCTTCATTTTGGGACAGAAACATGGTGCATCACGAAAAGCATTCCGAACAGGCTGCTGCAGAGTTTTATCAACAGGTGCTGCCTTCACTAGATTCATATCGAAGAACAAATAGCCAGTGGGAATTGGAAACAAGAAACTATGGGAACGAACCAACCAAGATGCCATCGTTCAACAAATATGTAGGAGAAATTGGAGATGGTTGGATGGGACATACTTTCAGGAGACTGTCGAATGGCATTGCACACCAGTTCATAGCTCGAATGTAACCCGAATGGGAAAGGACAAGTGGGTCATCGGTGCGAGGATGACATGGAGTAGGTCTTATGAGGAGGAGATGAGAGATTTATGGGCAGTCGTGGGGCAAGGTAAATAGGATAGCAGAAAGTGGAACAAAGTCGAGATGTGTTGTTGAAGCCCCATGTGCCGATCGGAACCAAAGGGAACAATAATAATAAACAATATTTAGTAAGGAATAAAAGTAAAATAACCTATAAATAACTAGAATTATGGGTATACTCCATTCTGTCTACTTCACTATGGTTAGAATTGATACGTAAAGACCCAGGTGAACAACTAGTGTGATGATGTTAAACTGACATTTATGTATCACTGATTCAAATAAAAACTTAAGGAACACGTGATAACTGGAGTGGAATGATGACATGATCAGCAATAAGCTGTCCTCACTCAGGTGGTGAAGTTCTAAGGCAATAGTCTGCAGGTCACCGGTTTGCATCCTATCTCAATCCAGGTTTACAGTCACCATTCAATACACTAATATCAGTCCTATCAGTTCAAAGCCATCTCAGGTAGTTGCACCTGCTTTCTTTCTTGTATGTCAGTTTGCATTGAAATGACAGGGAAATAAAGAGATACAATGTTCGGTTCACTAAGTCCTTTCCTTTTTTGAAATGTATTCAATCTAAAACTATCATTTTAGGCACTGGATATTTTACAAAAAGGCCGAAAAGGTGTTGGTGTTAGTATTCTATTCGATCCAAAGGGAGACCAAACATCTGTCGATGAACCACACAATCCAATACGTTCACTTCCATCGAGCGAAGCCTATGCGAATTGGCAACGTGACAGGATCAAAGAATCTGGTTCCATGGAACAAATTTTAAATCAAGGATGGTCATGGTAATTATTTTATCTTAACACATTTTATGAATGTTTGTACTTAATACAACTTTGTAGAATGAACTTCCTTTCCTGAAAACAGTCGTTGTCATGGTAATCCGTTAAGATTTTCATGAGCTAATCAATTTATTTACGTGTTTAATAGAGTACATTTAACTGATAAGCTTATAGAATTAGTTAATTAATCGATTAATCAACGACTGTAAATTGTGGATGTTTTACAATTATATACATTATATTATCATACTGTTATCATTCACTTGGCTTCCGAGTGGAACAGGGCTCCAACAGCACACCTCCATTTCATCCCGTTCTCCAAGGTTGACAAAAGACGTCAACCTGCTCGAAATGCCTCCGTGACAACTCCAAATTCTGACCAACATAGAAGAACCCACTTGACATCGGTGTTGGAAATCCGAATCACGTTCTTTATGCTTTGGAGTGCAGGAGATCCCCAAACTGATTTCAGACTGATGAAAGTGTATCTTGCCTTTCCGATTCTGAATGGCTGGCTGGGTGGCTGGCTGTCTGGCTTTGACATCTTCATGCGTTCCACTGACTGTGGTTGAAACCACGCTTCCTTGATAAGTGAAGGAGGTGACCTCTTTCGAATTTATTCCGTTGATGGTGATTGGTGCTTGTTGTCGGTGTTGCTGTCGGTTGGTTATTTTCACCGATTCCGTCTTCTCTGTATTTATTTGAAGGTCTGTCTTTGCTTGCATCCTCTGCTTTCAAATTAGGCGTTGCTGATAGTCAGCCTTGTCTAACTCCTGTATTCCCCTTGCAGGCTTCGCTGAGTTTTCCGTTATGGATCAGTTTTCATGTGGCATTGTGATATAGGCGTTGAATCAGGTTGATAAAGGCTTTCGGCGGTGCACTGTGTAGCGTTGAAGTAGTTTCCGAATTCGTTCACGGTCAACTCTATCGAAGACCTTTCCAAAGTCGATCAAATTGAGGTAGAGTATGCACAGCCCATATTTCTACCTCAGCCTTAAGTGGAAGGGGAAAAATATTTTTTTTCTCTTGTTTATCTAATCTGTGTACATTTCCCTTATTATGACTATTGTTATAATTACTATTTTGACTTTGACTTTGAACAGCCTCTGATGTTATTTCATTTGTCTCCATTTATTATTTCAATTCGTCACATTGTTTTCATCGTTAAACTCTATCTTAGGAAGCGTTTCACCCCATTATGTCATCTTTTATTTGCCTACTACTAATCGTTTCAATTTTACACTCTTACAAGTTTCAGTGAAGTTAAGGTAGCGATATGACTACCATTCTCAACATCTGCTCGATGAAGAATGTCAAAGTCAAGCTTTGGAAGACAAGACAAGTGTTCATTACTCTGAAATAAGTGTGGAGACCTATACACACCACTCAGCAAACGGAGAAAATTTCGAACTTTGTCTATGCCAGTGATGAGTCAGCGCTTTTATATGGTTTAGAGACTTGGAAGCGCATCACCACATGTATTTCTTACGGAAAACTGAGGACTTTCATCAACACCTGTATTCACTCTGTCGATACTGAAGATCAGATGGCTAGAAAGAATAAGCAATATGGAACCATCAAAGAAGCAATTGGTCACCAAATATGCAGAAGAGAATGCAGATGCATTGAATATAGTCTGAGGAGATATTCAAATAATATCACACTCCTGGTTGTCCAGTGAAACCCGGATGGGTAGCGATGAATAATGTATAGGCTCCAGGGTGACATATAGAAGGTCATGTTAGGAGGAAACATAAGCTTCTGGGCAGTCATGGAGCCTGTTGAGAATAGTGACAGAGGACATAGTTTAACTTAGATGTACTGCTGAAGTGCTGCATTTCACTTCGAAAGCAAAGAACTAATGATAATTGCTGCTCTTGTGTATTATGTATACATTGTTAGTCGGAATAATCTAAAGACTGGCTAAATGTATTATTAAGCTAGTAAGCGTAAACTGATCAGGCTTTAACTAATTTTTGGGAGTGAAACGTTATTTTAGAAGTGATAACTTTTAGTACAGTCCCAATAAAAATGTTATCAAAATTAAATACTATCTATTGACATAAATAGTTGGAAACCATTTCCTTATTTATTGCGTTTACCCGAAGCTTTGGAAACAAGTTCAACAAAACTTGACTATTGGTTCTACTAAACTGGACATTATTTTGGGTAATAGGGGAAATCATTAATAGCCTCTTATTATTGATCCCTGACATCTTGGGCAAAAACGAAATAATGCAAACGCTACATAATCATTCCGCTGGCTTACTAACAAGCTCATCAGCGGTGTCCTGCGTCAAAATAAATAGATAAGCGGATTATTCCAGGGTAGATTTCTTTACTAACCGTTAGTGGTTAGACAAGTTTTTGTAACTAAGGTGCACTGTGCAGCTGTTTCTTCCTAGTTTGGGCCCTTTCCTCGGTACACACCTCTAACTACACCATGGATCAGAAATCGGGCCTTCAGATGGCGTTATGCCTGAGAATTGAGACAAGTCAGAAGTTAGGGTTCGAAACTCATGGTGCTGAGTTTGACTCTTAATAAAGCTATGGTTTTCCATGGTTAGAAGTTCCTGAACTTGGAAGAAACAGCTATTCAGTGTTCTCTGTTTTTTACTGAGATAGATTTGTGACAAAATCTACTTTAAATTCAATAGAATGACCAAAAACCTAACACTTGAAGATAATAAATAAAATTCAATTCTTTGTGGTCAGAAGCAAATCTTCTGACACGCCTTTTGTTACTTTCGAGAGTAAGTCTGGTAGGGCATCAGTCATTTCAAACATCTGAAACTTATCCGCTCCACTGCTGATTCATAGGAGTGTAAATTTTTTAAAATTATCTTTAGCTGTATGGAATTCCAAGTTTTACCGCTACTTACTTTAGTGATAGGACCTGCATGTCCTTTGGTCGTGTATGATTGTCCTTTGACGCGAACATGCCCGGCTGATAAGTATTGAGTACAACTGAACGACCATTATGATAACCAGATAATATAAATTTGTGGCATTCCTCAAGGTGTATTTTGTATTGAACTAATTGTATACGTAATATAAACTGCCATGATCACTTTCCGGTTAGTATTTGAGTTATGATGTTACTGGCTATTCTTCCCGATTCCAGCAAAAGTGGCCTTGCATATAAACCAGAAGAAATTCAAGCTTCTCAAAAATACCAACATCCTTTCGACAACGATTCTGATAGAATCGACCATACGGGTTCACAAATGGCAGAAATTTTTGGCGTGAAGTCTCAGTCTAATTCATCATGTCAATCTAATACTGGCATAAAAATTGCTCCACGAAGTATACCTCCGTCAGCAGCACCAAATGCTGCACGTGAAGGAGTTGGAATGGCTGAGCGGTTCGGTTTAATTCAAGTTCAACAATCTTATGCTGGAGGTGATAGTGATGAGATCTTCGATGTAAAGTCTAAAGCTACTGAGTCTTCAGATATGTGGCGAAATGGCATTGGGCCACGTGTTAAATATGAGGTTTGTCTTCTCGTATAAACATTTTTACAAAGTGTAAATGTTTACGTACTGGTGTGACTAAATGTGTAGAAGGTTACAGCCTATGCAAAACAAGCATCTCTGTTGGTTGAATATTTAGTGATCGACTTCTTAACCTTTATGCACTATGTTCAACAGATTAGAGTTCACTCTTAGATGGGAATCATTTACAGATAGTGCTGAAGTATCCTAAACTTTAACAAGCCAACTACTTATTACTACTTGGTTTCAATCACCATAAAGGATAAAAGTAGAATGAGAATGTGTAAAATGAAAAATTATAAAATTCTTAGAATACTGAAAAGGACAAACCTGAACATATTTACCCAGCATAATTATCATGTTGGGCTCTAGCACATACATACAATAGATTATTATTATTATGATTAATTTTACACATTTTGAAAATTGAAGTCAGACAGCTAAAACTCAGTCTATCTATACTCCAAAGCATTAAGCTGCTCAAGCCAATATTTTCATACACCATCCACACCACCTGTAAGTATATTCACATGGCACTTTCGAACCAACCATGTTTTCAGACAGCATTGGACTGATGATAGAGGCTTTTTGCCATTGGAATACAAAATATATATCCTGAGGATCATGAATCCAACTTTATTAAAAGAATTCTTTGGTTTCAAGATTTGTTCTCGATAAACATCTAATGTCGACAACACATTCAGTGATCAACCCATCTTTCCATGAAACAATATAAGTCTCCAGGACTTTAGTTAATTTCCACACTATGGTGCTTAGCGGTGTGTAGATACCTATAGAGGTGAATTAACTCAAAGACGTTTACAACTGTAAACCTGATTGACCTTCACCAGACTAGTTCAATGCATAGCCTTGACCTCATAATTGTTCTATAGTATTCAGTGGATTACATAATCATGTCTTATTCGGTCTATATGATTTCAGATCCAATGAAGTTACTGTGAGTAAATTTGTAGATATGAGTAGCAATTTAATGTTAGTTTTATTTAAAACTCTAGAAAGCATGAACAATGTTCATTTCTTCATATTATTATAATATCATGAAGGTCTTGGTTTCCTCTGCGTAATGCTGTTATAATTGCCTGTATTTTCCTTTAAGTTCTTATGAATTTTAGACACAATTATTAAGTATTGAGTGAAGTTTAATATGTATAAATTTCAGCGACTGTGAAAGAAATTACTCCAAAGTCCCGTTCAGTTAACTGGTTTAAACTCCTTTAGAGAAATAATCAAAATTAAAATATGCGTATGTGTAATTGGCAGAAAACAAGGTTTTCTTCAGACTGTCTGAATTATGTCTGAATAATGAATGAGTAGTCATCAAAACACGTACGAAATCGTTCTACATGAAGATTGACTGTAAACACCATGTGTTGTCGCGTCAGCTTATTGTGGTATAGTGAGGGTTTACGGTCAGTGAAATTGTTTGAATAGAAATAATTTCTAATAAAATTGCACAAGATTTTGTCGAGAGTATAGGAGAATGTGAATTTTTCAAGTGGCGTGTGACTGGCATGGTATGACTGCGGTGCTCCTTACACGTTGGTTTTAAGAGTTTACGTTCCAGTTGAACTATGCTGAAATCTTGCAACTCTAAGAAGACAGAAATAATTAGAAGGCGATAATTTCTGTAGAAATGGTTTATTTGTTGTTACAGCTGTCCTTCTTTTTGACATAGGTTCACTATATGGAGACTTCATTCATTTCAATGATTACTAAGAATTTTCGCGACTTTATCTTAAGTGTCTGACTTACGAACTGGTCAAATCGCTATTCCGGTGTTTGAGTATCTAATGAAACTGGCCTTTCTTAAATTTTAAGGAAGTTACCTGAAGCTAGGAATATGGGAGTTTTATTTAGACATTATTGGCTTCCTGCTAAATGACTCCAACTAACTAATAATGGTGAATCGACTTGTTAGATTATTGATAATATACACTGTAAGAATTTGGTTAAATCAAAAACCAAAGTACGTCTATTGTTTCAATTATTCAGAGTTAGGTACCAGTGAAGTTGTCTACTTACTCTGGTTATGACATAATTATCTGACTCTTAGCAGTTTGAGCTGCACATGGAAATCTATACACTTGCTATTGATCATTCGACTTATTCATAAGCATAGCCATAGGTGCAGTCAGTCAACTAGCATAGTAATGCCAACAACTGATTATCAGTTCAGTGACTTTAAGGTGCAATCTTCGAGAGTTCAGGTGAAAAGTGATTTTCAGTAGATTTCATCAAGTTAGTGAACTAGACTCAGACATAAATAAGGATCACCCACAGAAACCGTCCAATTTATGCGTATATCATTGAACTGATACACACAACTCAGGCACAGGGCTACAAACTACCTGTCTTAAACAACCCTTATCAGTGTGCACTATTCAACACCCAGTTCAGACTCAACAATGACACACATCAACTGAAGGATGGATTGTGTCGCAAGCAGACCATCACTGGGTCCACTCCTGACTGATTGCTTGATACCATAGCTCAAAACACACTGAGCTTAATCAAACCGTCACTTGCCCACTTGCTCATCTCAATATATACACAAGATATGTAGGGGACAAGTTCGTCATATAAGATAAAAATGTTCCATTTGATGATATTTCGCTCTCACTCAACAAATACCATCCATCCGTAACAGTTACTTGAGAAAAGGAGTCTCTACTGATCACCCAATATGTTAATCACAAGACGTAATGACGGATCTCTCTAGAAGGTGAAGGATATCGACGTCTTCGCAAATACACTACACGCGAATGCAAGTGTACATCTTCCAACGCCCAATGCACTTGTCCTACTTACACCAGACAACTGTTCGGAAGGTAAGTCAAAACAATAAATCGGTTGACCAAAATACGAAGTATGTTTCAGGATGGATTATGTGGAGTGGTGATGTGTGTTTAGCCAGCCAGTTAGCCATGTAGTCAGGCATAGTTCGTACACGACCAACAAAACGCAAGAGGACACCGTGGTGAATGGTGTAGACGCTTGAGTCTCTTGTGAGAAGGCAGTTGTACGCGTCTGAGACCCCCAACTAGAACGAATCAGCTGTTCTATACTTCTCTGATTTTCGTGGATATCGGTTTGCAACGCAGTTCACCTCAGAGCAATAGAAATCCTCGTAAAGTGAGCATCTGGAAATCTAAAAATCACTTTAATCTGTGACAGATGTTCGTGTGGATAGTGAGATTTGCGAAGGATTTTCGCTCTAATCATCAGCTCTCTGAAGCGAGACTGAGCAATAAGAAAAGAAACTGGGTACTACACTGTGGTCGGGTACAATACAATTATGTAGTGAATTCATTTCAGAAGAACACAGGGATATAATATCGTTTACTGTTAAGAAATAATAAAATGATTTAAAGGAGCTTGCAAAGTTATATGGTAACCTTGATATGACTATGAGCAATAAATTCCGCTCAAAAGGTCATCAGTAAATAGTATTGGATAACACAAAGTGATCATATCAAACAAATCTACTCTGTAATGGAATCAAGACTTCTATACTTAGTTGAATCCAGGTTCTCTTTAGAAGGATCACTTGCATATTGGAGAAGAAGAAGAAGAAGAATCTTTTACCTTCGTTCCCATATGAATTTACTCTGAAGACGACAATTACGATGTTTCTGTAAATTCTCTTCCAATCAAAATTAGCCTACTAAACACCGACCGCTTCAATCACAACTTATCAGAAATAATTTAGAATTATGATCTGATTAGTATTTTCTGACCAACTTTTGTCTATTAAATAAAATTGTAGTAAAACAGGATTTTACTTTACTCCACTTCTTTTATAGGGTGTTGAATATGCAAACAGGAATTGTGGAACATTAAACAACAGTAATTTACATTCCATGCTACCTGATCCTCCACTAAAACAAACTCCACGAGTTCGACCGGAAGCATTGGAAATATGTGAATCTCATCGTGGTCAAATGTGTAAACTATTATTAACTAAGTGAGTTATTAAATTTTATAAAATTTTGTCTCGCCCATCACCCATGCGGTCCGGTGTTCGATTCCCGACTGCCGAACTCATTTACCTCGCTAAGCCAGTAGTAAGACAGGTATTGAGAGAAGGTTTGCCATGATGCTAGCTACATTTGTTGAATTTGTTTCATAAACCGATGGAATCCCAACAACTGTTGGTTTGGTTTTCATTCAAAGTCAATAAGGATAGTAAAGCAGACTAGTTGTTTTGTGTTCTCACGTGACTGACTATTCAGCGGTACTCATTATTTAAATCTTGAAAACAAATTTAAATATTACTTATATTCTGTCAGATAACCTTAATAATAATGATAATAATAATAATAATCTACTTTATTCCGAAAACAGTACTTATAATGCAGAATGGAATTCTCAGCATTTGTCACAATATTGCATCTGATTCACTCAAAATATAAATAAAATTAAAAATTAAAACAAAATTAACCAGAGGAATTTGTCCACATTTAACATTTTAACGATAGACGAATCAGATCACAATGTGCTATAACGATCAGCCTCAATGTTAGGCTTCTGTATACTGTAAAATTAGTAGGTATGGTTTGAAAGATTTCGACAAGTACAAGACTGCCGGCTTACTTAGGCAATCATTCGCTAAGCTTACAATCAGTTCTTTTTATTCTGTGATTGGTTAACACAGCAAACAATCCTGCTGTTGCCACTGTCCATGACAGCATGCCAAATCGGAGCATGAGATCTACTTATTTATTTGTGTGCAGTTCAGTTTACTTCAACCTAGTTATGGTTCATGATAGTCGAGAGGTAAGTACACGACTTCTACGCTTGTTTTTAATTGCTGTGAGGCTTTGTTTACTTTTAGTATGAATGGTTAAAGAATGTTTTCCTATGCCTTACTGTTCCCACACTTATTGAAAGATGATTAGATGAAGAAGGGCTGTTTAAGCAACGTTATTTTCCACATAGTTTATTGGCCCTATCAGTTCTGATTCTATATATCAAACAGTTCATTGTTTGATTAAGCCTACGTGTATTCTCAACAATGCCTAAGATCTTTCTGACATGGTTTGTTCTTCTACTGTTGTTTCAGTAACCTTCACCATATTTTAGGCAGTCTGCTGCTGTGGCAAAGCCCTATAATAGAATGCTCAAATGCTTTACTGCAAACCACGTCCTTCTTGCTTTGAAAAAGATGGTTAAGAGATGATTGATTCGCTTTATTGCATAAACTCTTCGGTGGACAAGTTGACCTAGTGACTACTTAGTGTGAATATTTCATCACACCTTTCGTAAACTATGTTGAATCGCACATTTGAATTTGTAAACATTTAGGAAATTACAATTATCCTCAAATTCTAAATATGGACGTTATAAAATATCTTATTTTATCTTTAATAGTTCAATTGCAAATTGCTTTAATTCAATCCAGAGTAATCATTCCATACAAAACAAATACACTCGTCATTATATATATTTTCTATTTTGCATTTTCTCTTTGGTATTAGTGATAAATTAAAACAAGTAGTAGCACGGAAACCCAAATTTTATCCGAACAGTAATGATATAATCAAAAAATCACGTGGCGGTGCTGCCAGAGAATGTTTAAATCCAAGTAAAGTTAAGTGGTCGAAGAATATTCGAATGACTAGAACGGCATTGCTTCGAAGAAGACAATGAAGACAATTCTGTTCGCATGCGCCGCATATTTTGCTTTCAGCGCATGCAATTCAGTTAGTTTCATTCCTAAATACTTTGAACAATCATCAGTGTTGTGAAGTTATTTGTAACCTTTTTCCCCATTCTTCCATTTGTTCAGCTGTTTAATGAAAAAGATGAAGACTTAGCACAACTTTGAAATATTTTGATAATTTACGCCTTTTATCAATAAATACAGGTGTTTGTCATTATAAAATTACTTCAAAAAGATGTAAATACTTATGATAACAATAATAATTATCATGTCAAATGCGACAGAATATCTTTAATTAAATAATCAAATTCCGATAATAAGTGATAGGACAGAGTGATGCTGTCATATAAAGACATATAATAATTTACAGCATGTATGAAACTTGTAAGAGTGTAAAATTGAAACGATTAGTAGTAGGCAAATAAAAGATGACATAATGGGTGAAACGCTTCCTAAGATAGAGTTTAACGATGAAAACAATGTGACGAATTGAAATAATAAATGGAGACAAATGAAATAACATCAGAGGCTGTTCAAAGTCAAAGTCAAAATAGTAATTATAACAATAGTCATAATAAGGGAAATGTACACAGATTAGATAAACAAGAGAAAAAAAATATTTTTCCCCTTCCACTTAAGGCTGAGGTAGAAATATGGGCTGTGCATACTCTACCTCAATTTGATCGACTTTGGAAAGGTCTTCGATAGAGTTGACCGTGAACGAATTCGGAAACTACTTCAACGCTACCCAGTGCACCGCCGAAAGCCTTTATCAACCTGATTCAACGCCTATATCACAATGCCACATGAAAACTGATCCATAACGGAAAACTCAGCGAAGCCTGCAAGGGGAATACAGGAGTTAGACAAGGCTGACTATCAGCAACGCCTAATTTGAAAGCAGAGGATGCAAGCAAAGACAGACCTTCAAATAAATACAGAGAAGACGGAATCGGTGAAAATAACCAACCAAAAGCAACACCGACAACAAGCACCAATCACCATCAACGGAATAAATTCGAAAGAGGTCACCTCCTTCACTTATCAAGGAAGCGTGGTTTCAACCACAGTCAGTGGAACGCATGAAGATGTCAAAGCCAGACAGCCAGCCACCCAGCCAGCCATTCAGAATCGGAAAGGCAAGATACACTTTCATCAGTCTGAAATCAGTTTGGGGATCTCCTGCACTCCAAAGCATAAAGAACGTGATTCGGATTTCCAACACCGATGTCAAGGGGGTTCTTCTATGTTGGTCAGAATTTGGAGTTGTCACGGAGGCATTTCGAGCAGGTTGACGTCTTTTGTCAACCTTGGAGAACGGGATGAAATGGAGGTGTGCTGTTGGAGCCCTGTTCCACTCGGAAGCCAAGTGAATGATAACAGTATGATAATATAATGTATATAATTGTAAAACATCCACAATTTACAGTCGTTGATTAATCGATTAATTAACTAATTCTATAAGCTTATCAGTTAAATGTACTCTATTAAACACGTAAATAAATTGATTAGCTCATGAAAATCTTAACGGATTACCATGACAACGATTGTTTTCAGGAAAGCAAGTTCATTCTACAAAGTTGTATTAAGCACAAACATTCACAAAAAGTTTTATTTTAATATATCACTCAGTGTTATGCAGTAATTTTAACTGATGACGTTTCGAGCACAAACACTTGTTCATAATCATTTCAAATTATTCACATTCATATTACCACCAGTCAAATCTCAGGAGGGTAATAAAAAATCTTAAAATTCTATTTCACTTCAGTTACATCTTAACATTATAACAAGTTAGTCATTTTGACTATAAAAACACTCGTCTTATTTCCCATATGGTTGTATTTGATCAATTACACGGAGTATCGGGAACAAATTTCATGAGCTAGGTGTATTAGTGGAAGACCTTAGCCCAAGTATTGTGGCCATTACTGAAACATGGCTGGTTTCTGGATTAGATGACACACCTGAGCTATGCGGATTTAGTTGTTTGCGCAGCGACAGGGTTAAGGGTCGTAGAGGTGGCGGGGTTGCTCTGTACATCAACAACTCCCTACATGTTTGTTACGTGAAATCTGAAGCGCATGACAGTGGGACAAGTGAGGTAATTAGCTGTGAAGTAAGCTTTGCAACTGGCACTCTTCTCATTGGAGTTCTGTATAGAAGTCCCTATTGTCAGTGTGATGACTTTATTTTAGATCACCTCAAACAATGGTGTAAACACAGTAGCTGTCTTATTCTAGGTGATTTTAATGCACCTCATATAGACTGGGTAGCTGTCGCACCTCCAGGATCCACTAATAAGTTTGACAGCCGGTTACTCTTGACTACCATGGAAAATGCCCTGACACAACATGTCTTAGGTAGTACAAGATTCGGTTCTACCCAAGGATCTTCCTTGCTGGACTTAGTGCTTACTCATGACAACGACGACGTGGATGGTCTAGTTATTCATCCACCTCTAGCAAACGGTGATCATGGGGTGTTAGATTTTAACTTAAGGGTTGGCAATTTAGTCAGTTTTCAACCCAAATCCCGACCTAGTGTTTGGCATGCTGACATAGTCTCTATAAAGGAGCGTGCTTCAACTGCCGACTGGTCAGTCAATATTGTTTCATCCATTGAAGATGAATGGAATAGATTTAAGGATACACTTGAGAGGGTTACCACTGATTCCATTCCCTGGAGGGTTCCTAAAAGGTCAACAAATCGGCCACCATGGATAAATAGACAAGCTATAACACTCCTAAGACGGAGAAAAAGGTTCTGGAATCTCTTTGTTTCTACTGAGCTACAGCAGTTCCGGGTGAAATACTGTGAAACCAGAAACCAGTGTAAAACTTTGATTCACCAGTCAAGGATAGCTTATGAAACCCAGTTAGTTAAAAGTTCACCAGGCTGCCCGAAAAGACTCTTCTCATATATGAAGAGAAGAACACGTAAGAGTGATGCTATCCCACCTCTTATGCTTGAAGATGACCAAACAAACATGGCTGAGGATAACTTGACTAAGGCTGAGGCTTTGTCCAAGCACTTTAGTCAAGTATTCTCTGATAATATTGATACCAGCTTTGTAACTTTTCCAGAAGGTAACTTGAAAATGGCACCCTTATACATTGGAAAGGATACTGTCCTAAAGTGGCTTCTAAGACTCAATCTTGGTAAGTCCAGTGACCCTGATGAACTCCACCCACGTATATTAACAGCATTGGCTGAAAACATAGCCGAGCCATTGTCGGTAATCTTCAATATGTCTCTAGACCAGTCTAAATGTCCAAGAGACTGGAAAGATGCCATCATTAGTCCGGTCTTCAAAACCGGATCTAGAAACTTAGTTCAGAACTATCGTCCTGTTAGTTTGACCAGTATTGCTGTTAAACTACTAGAAAGAATAATTCGTGATGCTATCATTCAGTTCATTGAAGGGAACAAACTTTTCGCTGTGGAACAGCATGCTTTTAGAGCAGGTCATTCTTGCTTGACCAACCTTCTTTTGGCCAGAGAAAGTTGGGCAAGCTCAGCTGATGCTAATATACCGGTGGATGCCATATTCATCGACCTTAGCAAGGCGTTTGACAGGGTTTCTCATTCAGGTCTTCTAGTAAAGTCAGGTAGTCTGGGAATCAATAAAGTGGTTGCCGACTGGATTCAAGACTTTCTAAAGGACAGAAGACACAGAGTACGAGTTAACGGGGTTTTATCAACATGGGAATCGGTTAAGAGTGGCGTTCCTCAGGGTACAATTCTAGGCCCACTTCTTTTCCTGATTTATGTTAATGAGATTCCATCGGTAGTTAAGTCATCCTGCTTACTGTTTGCTGATGACATCAAGATATGGAGGGCTTTACACGATGACAGTGATTAACTTGCTTTGCAGGAAGATTTAAACTTGTTAAGTGATTGGTGTAAGCACTGGGCCTTGAAGATTAACTTAAGCAAGAGTGTAGTTATGCATGTATCTCATAGTCACGTGCACAATTACTCAATGAATGTCATTACTCTCCCAGTGGTCACTGAGTACAAGGACTTGGGAGTGGTTGTGCAGCATGACTTGAAAACAGCAACAAACTGTAGAGCTGCAGCCACTAAGGTTTTTCGAATGTTATGGGCCATACGCAAGGCTTTTGCGAACTTTGACGCTGAAATATTTCGTATATTATATCCGACTTATATCAGACCTCATTTGGAATATGGGATCCAGGCAGCGAGTCCGTGTTTCAAATACGAAATAGACTTATTAGAAAGGGTGCAAAGAGTAGGAACTAAGCTAATAAAGGGTTTTTCAACCCTCTCATATGAGGAGAGGTTAAGTCGACTGGGTTTATTTCCACTGTCATACAGACGACATAGGGGTGACCTAATACCAGGATACTACTAGCATACTAACATATTACAGATAAGGTTACTAAGTGGCACTAAATAATTGCTCAATCCATATGCATATATGTGAAAAGAATAACGATAATTAAAATGTTATAAAGTGTAGAGTTGAAGTGGATAAAATAGATAATTATTAAAGACTTTTTATAAGTGAATTGAAATCAAAAATGTTTTAAAATTGTCAAGTGTTGTCTAAAAATTAAAAAAAAAAATAGGAGTACGATTACGATAAGAATGAAGATGTGAAGTGAAGTGGAAAGAATTCAAGTGGTAAATTAAAATAAAGTAAAAACTAGAAAGAACATTACTATGTACAGATAATTTAGGTTTCTGTACATGTATAGCTAAAGCTTCGGCTATGCATAAGTGGAGAAAACGTAAACTTTTGGATCGATTCGATTTTGCCATGTAGACACTTTGAAAGATGAATCACGTGGGGCTAAATGACCTGACTCTAACAGGTGATCACAGATAGACGACTTCGCAGTTCTATGTTCGCCTTTCATTAACCAGACTGGATAGTTTACAGTTTGCAATTTATTTAGGATAGTAGGCTATATGCCTGTGTTAATCCTTTCGATTTGTTGCACACAGGAGGTCCAATCTCGCCTTAAATGAATCAACGGATGGCGCTGATACGACGTGTTCCGGTAGGCAGTTCCAATGGTTCACAATCCGATGCGGAAAACGGATCTCCAGACGCAGACGATTCGACCGTGGTTTTTGAACCTCGAGGTGATGTCCTCGCAATTGGTTGGTGCTAGAAGGAAGAAATAAATTAGATAAATTTGCTCCAAAATCATTTCTTAGGATACGGTATGCTAGTATTAGGTCACCCCT